GTTTGGGCTCAGGGCTTAGAGTTGCTACTATGACCTCAAGAACCCAGAGCAATGCCCCCTGACGCTCTCTGATGCTCCTACCCTGACATCTTGATCTTGACCGTCACTCTGAAACACGGTCTTAATGTTGAGGGTTTATGGTTCCTCGATGAAGGAAGGGGGGGAGACCCTTGGAGGTTGGGACTTGTGGGCTCCCCCGACTTGGGCGGCTTTGGGGATTCGGACGTTGTCGAGGAGGTCCGCTGGGTCGGATCCCTTGGGACTTGCTAAAATCCGACGCTGGCACAGATGTGGACCTTGAAGACCTCACCATCTCAAATTGCACTCCTCTGTCCCTTCCGGTCGAAACCAGAACTCCTCAACGGCCCGAAGCAACCAGAACTCCTCCTGCGAACCGTTTCTTCTTCGGGTTTGAACCCTGAGTCTCCCGAAATGTTCCTCTCTTTAAGGCTTCTGGCTTCGCAGATGGGCTAGCGCTTTCGACCAACCAAGCGATCAGCCATGAAGACGTGAAACCAACTTCCCTCAAGAACCTTCCACGACGGGCCTCCTCCGTGCCGGCGACGCCTTTACAAGATGTGGTTTCCCAAGTTGACTTGTCTTGGGCCTGATAGCCTGATCTACGGCTCAGGGTGGATTGGGTGCCCCTACACACCATCCGAAGGCCGCGGATAACGGCTCAAGCGCTGCCCCAGATTTTAGACCCACTGCCGGGAGCTTTGGGACTTACACACCAAATGCCAAACCCCAAATGCCAAAACCCTGAACCCCAAGCCGGTGCGACTCAGGGTTAGCATCTGAAGCGACATCTGAGCCCGAACCGATGACAGCCCTGTAGGACTGGAGCTCGAGGGCCCCACCGTGGGGTTTGGGGTTCGGGGTACAAACCCTGGTCTAACCCTGAAAGCCAAACCGTACTCCAGCCCCCACAACCCAAGTAAACCCCTAAACCCTATCCTATTCCCGAAACCCCTAGACATTTCTCCCCTAAGCCCCTAAACCCCTAAAACCCTGAAACGGACGCAAGATCGTCCCAGGAGCAGCCGTTGATCGAGACCGGCCGATCGGGCCTTGGTGAAAAAAGCTGTTGCAGGAGCTACTAACAGGGCTATACCCATTCTACTATAACCGTAAGAAGCAACCCTCAAAAAAATGTAAGTAACTAAGAAGGCCCCTATTTTTTCGCGCGTGCCATAAGGGGCTTAAGGGTTTGAGGACGGGTGACTGACAGTTCCAGGGGAGGGTTTTGGTGCTCGAAGCATGTGGGATTGTGTCAGGGGTTTAGGGTTTAGGGTTTAGGGGTTTAGGCTTTAGGGTTCAGGGTTTAGGGTTTAGGGTTTAGGGTTGAGGGCTCTTGGTTGAACGGTCTCGGGTGCTGGGTTCTGGGTTTCGGTTGAAGGCAGGCTCCTGTGTTCTCGAGTGGGCAAATGCTCAACGGCCACTTGTTTGCATGATGCTGGCATCATGCACTCCTTTCACGCGATGCACACACTGTAAACCTCACCACCTGCAACCATGCCCGAGCACCGGGCAGCGCCGCCAGACTTGGTCCATCCCAAGGAGGAGGCCTCAAGGACCAGCTGCGAGGGTTTGGGGCTTTCAGGATTGCTTGGAGGAGCCTCGGAAACATGTCGCCCTGGGCTCCGAGTTAAGCTTCAACCTTTCGGACGTTGTGGCAGCGATGCAGCCTCATACGGTCCTAAGAAATCTCATTGAAGCTTTGCAAGCTGTCGGTCACCCCGTGAAGGCAGCGCTGGGCCACTGCTGCTTTCAAAGCTCAAGACTGAGGATTCCAAGCTCGTGGGACATTCCGCAAGGCCCTGACGGAACGACCGAAAAAACGAAAGCCCGTTTCGGGATGCTGTACCTTGAAATAGGCCCTCCAGGCAAAGCAACCCCAAAGCCCAAAACCCAAACCTCACGCCCTGCAGGATAGCAATGCAGAACAGCAGGGACCAAGTGCAGAAGCCGTGACTTCAAAAGCTCGCAATTCTGTATCAACCACAAGCCCAGCTCTGCGTATGACTGTTCCGAAGGTGCACCAGCAGCAACAGGAAAACGAAACGTGCTAGGTCGACTTTGATTCTGCAGCAAAACTGATTACCGCCCGACAAGACCAATGAAATGACTGGGGTTGCGGAATGCTGAAAAAATGAACTGCTATCCTTGGCCCATTCCCTGAACCGAAAACCCAAAGTCCGCAAATCCGTTAGGTCCGAAAATTCTCGAAGCTCATGATACTAAGTTCCATCCGACATCTACGAGCTCTCCGACAGAAACCTTTAAGAAAACGTCGGAAGCCGTCCACAGAACGTAGCTTCAAAACGTGACAAAAACGCCGTACAACAAACAGCTGGAGTTATGTTGAAGATCTGCGCGCCAAGCCCATGCGTATGCTCGTAGCAGCACGCTTGTCCCCCTCTCTTTGAGGACTGGGCCCTAGGGATAAGTGGTGCCAGAATTCCCTGCCATCGGGGCCTCGGCTTCGAGAAGTTTGAAGCTTTTTCTAGGGGGATTAGGGCAAAGGATGGGTGTTGCAGGATCGAGCTTCACAAGAGGTTTGGAGCTTTAGGCCTGCAGGCTTTTAGGGTGCAGAATTGACAACTTTTCAGAAAGAGACGCTGGGCTCAAAGTAAAGCTTCCCTTTGCGAGGCTTTTTGGCTCTCCTTGGATGGATAGGGCATCCAAGCCTCTTTCGAGACCTCACTAAAAAAGCCACAGCCTCGCAAGACACCCGGCCCGAGCCCTAGACACGGAAAAGGACATCATATACATAATATGGTATTAGACAATAACAAATATAATAATACTAATCGTAATAATAATAGTAACAATAAAAGCAATAAAAAGGGGCAAAGGGATTCAGACTCCCGAGGCTTCGGCCCAGGTGTTTCACCCAGCCGTCTGCGGGAAGGTCGCTGTTTACCGGTGGCCTTCTGCGGTTTAGGGCTTAGGGCTTAGGGTTTAGGGTTTAGGGCTTAGGGTTTCGGGTTTAGGGTTTAGGGTTACGGTCGAGAAGCTTCGGTGGCTATGGAAAACGCGCATGCACACAGTATACCTGCATGTATGTAGGTCTTCGCAGTCTGCATTTGCATTTCCGGAAAACTTACAAGTAAGTATCCAGCAGAGGTTTGCTGTTGAATATGTACAGAAATTTCACCATACAATACCACGCACAGACAAGTCCTAAAAGAAGGAGAGACGGACTTCAAGGCCTAGGTTTGGGTTGGAAGGGCCCCAAATCCGGGGATCTAGAAGTCTTGGGTTCTAGGCTTTGCTTTGAGCTAGCATCCGTGCGGTGCAGGGAGACAAAAAGACACTTCAACAGATGATCTGAGTGGGGCTCAGCAGAACAAGCAAACTACTAGAAAGCTCAACAGCCCTAAAGCTCCGGTGCTTCGGGAGCGCATCGAGTATCATCGAGTACCCTCGGGAAAAGTCCAACACCTCAATATAGGGGCCTTCATAATTAGAGTATTGGGGTATATTATACCGTAATCATAAACCCTAATTCATGAGCTTGCACCTCTCACCGCAGCCTCTGCGTGCTCGCCGCTGGGGCAGCAAGAAGACAGCTTTTGAACTGGAAGCAACTGCGACGAAGTTAGATTGCTGAGACCATGAACCGAAGGAACTGTTCAATGCTGGCTGAGTCAGCACCGTCTAGCTCCAGGCCAAATCTCCAAGTCCAGCCAAGTTGTACAGAAAAAAAGGGCCGGGTTGGGAGGGCCGTGCTTTCAGCACGGATTATTTTTCTTGTGGCTTGGGCCAATGCATGATGCAGAGACTCAGTTGATGCTGCGGCTCCTCGCTTGCCAATGCTGCCGACGACAGCAGCATCTATCACCGAACGGTGAACTGCATGAATATGGGGTTCATTCATGAGCTTGCACCTCTCACCGCAGCCTCTGCGTGCTCGCCGCTGGGGCAGCAAGAAGACAGCTTTTGAACTGGAAGCAACTGCGACGAAGTTAGATTGCTGAGACCATGAACCGAAGGAACTGTTCAATGCTGGCTGAGTCAGCACCGTCTAGCTCCAGGCCAAATCTCCAAGTCCAACCACCCGCACTGGCCGAGAGCCCAAGCTATCACGGTCGAAGAAGAAAAATGCACAAATTCAGATGGCCATGTGGATGTATTGCAGACTATAACGAGCAGCGACCTACAAACCATCGTGCCAAGAGGGCCTTTGTGAGTGGAGCCGGCTCACAGTATCCCGTGCGAGCGCAATCAGCACCGGACATCTTCCAGCTGCCCGTCGGAATCCAGCCAATGCCAGCAACATCAGCTCTACCGCAGTGTGCCCGGAAAATGCTCGCCGAGTGTTCGCAGTTGCACCAACAAAACTGAACGGCAAAACATGGAAACGAATTCTGACCCAGGGATGCACCAGCTGCAGGTTGCACATCATGCTTGAGAAAAGCAGGGCCTGCAACTAGCATCCAGGTTCATGCCTCTGTCGCCTGCTGTGTCGCTGCTTAAGGCCCCGAGAAGGCCCATCAGCAGGGTTTTCACTTGAAGGCACGAAGATGAGGTGCAGCTGAAGGTTGCCAGCCAACGTCAATGCTGCAACCTTGCGGAGAAGCCTGTTCAACTGTGATGAAGAGCGACCTTTGGCCGCAGCTCCTAGCAGCACAGCTGAATCCAGAAGCACCACGATCCTGGAGGAATGATGGGCTTTAGATCTCAGCACCCACCGCAGAAAAAGCACAAGCGCCTCACCTTCAAGAACATTGATGTGAGCGTGGAACTTGTTGCGCACGCTGAAGATGTCGGAGAAATCTGACATGCGAAGGTTTAAATGATGGGCCCGAGCAGAGTCTTCAACACGGAGGGTTTCAGCTGCTTTCCCGTCCATGACAACAAAAGCCCCTTGCTTCTCTGCCCATCGCGCGACCTTCCTGGCAGTTGCTTGCGACGTCCGAATGAACGAGGCGCCCAGCCCGTAAGAGGTGCTAGCATCTGTCGCTCCCAACAACGGCAGAAAAGGGCGCCTCAGATCACAGGCGCCAAAAGATGCCCAAACACAAGCTGCACGCCAGCTCGCCCAAGATTGAGCCTGGCAGACTCCTTTCGCTCTCATCGTCGGACAAGGTGAAGGCGTAAATGCTGCTGTAAACTGAAAGCTTGGGACGCACCAGCAAGTCGTACCACTGCACCATGCCGAGCAGCTGTTGTACCTGTTGAGGAGAAGCCACCCTGCACGCATGAAGGTGAAGGAACGTCATGATCATGGCCAAATATCTCGGTCCCGGCACATCCAGGAAGCAGCCATTAACTAAATCCACACCGACACACGTGCCGCAAAGCTCATCATTCACATCCTTCTTGGCATTCCGAACAGCACCACGAGCGTCGATGACTGCGTCCAAAACCTGCGCGGCAGCAAGTGTGGTCCCTTCACCTACATTGCTGAAAAGCATCACATCGTCGGTTGCGACGGCCGCGACGAGCTCGAAGGAGGAGGGTGTAGTGCAGTCGCAGGCAAGGAGAACGGACTCGTCCAAGCCCGCTTCCCGACAAACATGCAGCATCTCCTCTTGGGCAATGTACGACGACCACGAGAAGCCCATGGGCCAAACGTGATGCAGAGGAAACAAAGGTCCCTCTCGCCAAAGTTGCCCTTCCTCCAGGTGTAATTGCTGTTCTTTGTCAGTCATGCCTGCCTCACGCAACTCAGCAGTGGATAGCGGCGGCTTCGCCATGTACAGACGAAGGTGAGCAGGAAGTCTCAACTGGTCAAACCAGCAGGAAGCATCCCTTTTGCTCAGCCGAAAAGGGCGAGCATCGCTGCACTCAAGGAAAGTCAAAGCGGTAGGTGATGCCAGGTGCCGTGGCTTCGGAGGCCTGGCAGCGGCCTCTGAAACGCGCCGTCCATGCCAGACTTCACGCAAACGTTGGCCACCATGTTTCCCCACTGCGAAAGATGTACCTCCTCCGCAGCAGTGGGTGGACAAACCCAGCTTTCCACAGCGGACCTGCCGTATCACAAGCTTGGCATATTCTTCGCGTGAGCCCCGACTAAAGGACTCAAAAAGGTGCAAACCCGGAGGCGGCGACTCAATGATGCCCTTTTGCAAACAACTCTGGACCTCCGCAGGCAAGTGGGGAAGAGGATCACATTGCGCAGCGAATTCCAGGTTGTCAACTCTTTCGGCTACGAGATCTTGAAACGCGGTCGAAGCAGGCTGCTTCTGTCCGCGGATGTCGACAAAGTCAGGCAAAAAGCGTTCCCACTCACCGTCCACAACCTCTTGTAAACGATGCAGAACGGAGAGCGAGCGCTCCACAATGCTGTCCACCACAGTCCGCTGAGAAGCTGTATGAGCTTGGGGCACGGCCGCACTTCTTTTTACCCCGTACAGCCAGTTCAGAGAAACCAGGACAACATTGATGAAGCGAAGCAACACATGCCAACGAACGGTGGTCATGCTGACAGGCTTATGGCCAACCCCTGCCACCGGGGCGATGGGAAAAACATCTCTCAGTCGCATCCGACCTGGCTCAGGAGCAAAGCTTGTGATGAAACTTCCAAACGAACCAGTGCCTGCAGTCGCAGCACAACCCAAGCGATCTAAAAGCCAGAGGCGGTCTTTGGGGACCCAAGAAAACCTGTCTGATCTCCAAGCGATCCACTGAGCGCGTCTGTTCCGAGATGACCGCTGGCTTGCCACAGACCGCTGTGGACAAGGAGATGCCAAAGAGGCGTGCCCTTTTGCACCGTTCAAGAAGTGTCTCCAAGCAGATGCCCTGTGCTCGTCTCGTCTTTGCTTCGATGGTGACATGTCAATAGTCGTGGCAGCTTGAATGCGGGCGGAAACCACAAAAAACTCCCACAACCACGCTCAACCAAGTACAATATTCATGGCCCACCCTACGCGGACAAGACATACGCACCGTGCTTTCAGCACGGATTATTTTTCTTGTGGCTTGGGCCAATGCATGATGCAGAGACTCAGTTGATGCTGCGGCTCCTCGCTTGCCAATGCTGCCGACGACAGCAGCATCTATCACCGAACGGTGAACTGCATGAATATGGGGTTCAACCCTAAGCCCTAAACCGTACATAACAAGGAACCCCCCCAGAGCGATCGAGGCCGACGCCCGAAGCCCATCGGTGAGTCGGGCCTGGCTGGTTCTTGAGGCTTTGGGATGTAGGGGCCTTGAAAAAATTGGAGTAGGGGTTCCTTGAAAGGGGCCTAAAAGGGTTACACAGTGTTACTATAAGGGTACAAGAATACCCAAAATAGTAGAGGTAATTGGGCTCCCACCTAGAGGACCCCCTTAAAGGATCCCTGAAAGGCTGTAAGGGGGGTGCCGGCTTGAAGTTCAAAGTCTCCGGGGCTTTAGAGCAGCCCGGGGTGCCTGAGGATCGACAGCAACGGCTGTCAGTACGAACTGCGCGCTTCCGGCTTGGGGCTACTACCTTCTTACACTGGCCCGCAAACCCCAACCTTCGAACCTAAACCCGAAACCTAGTGCTTCGGTGACGGTACATTTCAGGCTTTCAGGTTTGGGTTGGTGGGAGCCCGTGATAAAGAAATTCGCAACGAGTGCAGACACCAACACGAGCGAACCTGGAGGCTCGAAAGTCACCACAAAGTTTAGGGCTGATGAGGGTTTACGGTGAAGGATTTTAGGAATATGCCCTGCGCCCCAGCTGGCTGCACCCAGGTCACAGTGAGCACACTTCTCGGTAGCCCCGGCCCACCCCGCAGTACCTCGAAACAGGAAGTTGAGGCTTCAATGCTCAGGGACAAGGTTCAGGTTTAGGTGGAGCTATAAAGCTTCGAAGGAATCGTATGAGTCCCTGTTGTGGTCTCTTCACTCCATCGCACTCCGGTCATGCCCCTAAACCCTAAACCCTAAATACCTAAACCCTAAACCCTGAATCCTTAAAGGGCTTGCCGGAAGCTCCGAGGAGCGCAGGGCTTGGCTCCAGTACCCCTCACTCCCCGAGCTGAGGCTGCTAGCGTTTGGGACACAAAGGCTGCTACGGGGGGATACATCCCCAATCATGATACTGTTGATTATATAAATCCTGCATTACCTTAAGGACCCTAAACTATGAGAGCTATGGTATATCCCTTATTATGGGTCATGCAGGATTTATATCATCAACCGTAGTAGCCCCTAATGCAGACATCTCCTGATAGATTTTGAAGGCTCTGGGACTTCTGAAGCGAAGCCTTGGGTTCAAGGGGACCTCAACTGCTTTAGAGCGCAGGCTCCCGTGGCGTAAGGAAGGAAGGCCATGAGAGACACCGAGCTCTGCGGAAGCCTATAACCAAAATGCCCTTACCTTTGGTTAGTAGGGAATGGAAGAATGGTAGGAATAGTAGTGAAAAATTGTACCCCATTCCTCCATTCCCTACCAAAGGTAAGATGCCCCCAGGGGCATGTGCGGGTCCACTCCGTCACAGCTGGCGACCTCCGTCGCGGCCTCGACCCACCTGGGGTCAGGGCTTTGGGTTCAGAGTTTGGGGCTTAGGGTTGTAGGGGTTTAGGGCCCCCCCTGTTTGAACTGAGTGTCCAACTCGTTTCTGTGGAAAGCCCGGGCATGCCGAAACCATGTTTGCTTAGACTCGAGTTTCCTTTGTGGGCGTCACAAATGTTGCCATGCTCCTGCTTGAACTCATGCACCCTGTGACGACTTCGGCAAATTGCAATGCATCAGGGGCCCACGTTCCCTGCATCTCGCACCCAACAGAGTTCCCAGACATAAAGCACGGAACCTTCCCTGTTGGCTCAGGGTTTGGACATGGGCTTGGGGCATGTTCTGGAGCCTCGACTCTGTCAAACTGCTTCCGAATCTTTTCCTGTGTGGCTTGGCTGACGGTTCGCGGTGTGGGGATTCTACTGACTAGTCGTTCGTGCTTGTTGGAGCAGTGCGAAGGACTTGTGGATCCAAAGCTGGGATGCAACAGCTTGGCCGGCTTAGCCTTTTCGTGGAGTCATGCACAATACACAAAGCTCGAGGTCTAAAGCATGGGGCAGGCACTCAGATGACAATGTCCGCTCAACCATCAAAACTTCGGGGAGTCCCTAAACCCTCAACCCTGGCTCCAGGAGTCCAGGACCACCAGTTTTCGAGATCTGCAACCCCACAAGATACGACAGCCGCATGCAACTGCTGAAGATTTCGTATTTCTGTAGTAGCCGTACCCGAACACGGCTGTCAATGCTGGAGTCTATGTAAACTGCTGCTGCGCGTTGGGATGTAGCATTTAGAGTGTTGAGTTCGGGTTCTGGGTTGTCGGTCGAAGGGTTTGGTACTGGGATACGTCATACGGGGCGGTCAGGGTGGGTTTCGAGCCCATGCACCACTGCACCCGTATCGTGAATCCGGGGCTCGCACCTGACGGGCGCCGAGATAATCTGCTTAAACCTCCAGGACGCTTTTGGCTACATCACTCTTTCTTCTTCCTGTTCTTGTCATCCGCCGACTACGAACACGACTTCCAACGACGACGACGAGGACGACGAGGACGACGACAAGAGCAGTCGCATCGACAAATGGAGCTCGAGGGGATGTTGAGGCTAGAAGGTAAGAAGCTAAATCACGAAACTCCGTTGGCTTTAGGGCAATGCTCGAAGCGCAAGAAGCTCATCCCGACACTGACATGAACGTGACCACGTAGGTCTACCAGCAGCATGAGCATGAGTTCTAACGATTGCCCTCAAAGCGGCAAGAGCGACAAGAGAAAGGGCTTCATAAAAAGGCCAGAGTGATTAGAACAGGGTTTGGAGGTAATATATACCTATTATACCGGCTTCGACATTACCCCGCTACCGTGAAAGCCTGTGCACTGGCCAGAAGTGGCTCGAGGTCCTGGGCCCTTTCAAAGTTCTTCAGAGAGTGGGCTCCACTGCGCATCCCCTGCCTTCTTTCGAAGTCGTTTAAAGCATAAGAGCGCGAGGTCTTCTGGGGCTCCAGCGGGTCGGCTACACGGTCCACGAGGGGACGAGCCGCCGTCTCTGCGCGGCGCAGCATGGCCTGGAAGCAATGACGTTTTTAATCCGTCTGAGGGGTCTACGGGCTACAAGGACTTTAGGATGCCGCATACTCTGCAGAGCTTATCAGAAGTAGCCATGATACAAAGGGCAAAGAGGGCACCACGGCCTCTTTTCACCGAGAGCCTGCTGTGCACGACTGTGGGCCCTTGCGCTTTTAGCGCAGTGGGTCCACACTAGGATGTAAGCGATGACACGATGTGCTGCGCTACTCTAAGTAATAAGCATAACAACAACAAGGGAAATAGTAATGATAGCTCACGGTGGACCGAGAAAAGGCAGGTGAGGCAGCCTCGGCAAAGCGTGAAGAGTCCCTTGAAGAAGCGTCCCGAAACGAGTCGGGACGCCGCAGTTGGAGGGTTTATGGTTGTAGGCCGTAAGCCCATTAGGAGTTCAAACGGGTTCTCATTCCGGCATCTTTGGCCAAGGCCTGTAAAAACTGCGCCCTTGAGGTGCCTAGCAAAGGGGGTTTCATGTCAGTAAGAAGCAGAGCCAAACCCTGTTCCCAGCTCCACGAGGCTACAAGTTTCAACCCGCCAAATCTACTTAGATCAGAAACCGTAAACACCTCTCATTTCCAGCCCTGTAAATTCTGAACAAACAACCGTACAGCCTGCATCAAGTCCGAGACCTAAACCCCCAACCTAAATGGAAGTTTCCGAATATAGGGGACCCCAATATAGTACCCTGAATAGTAGGATCCTTATTATAAGGACCCCCAAAATTGGGTACCCCAATTTTCGGAGAATCCTAAATCGCGCAGGAACTTGCGCAGCTGCTCGTCCACCGGCTGACCGGAGCCGCAGATCGTCGTCGGAGGGCCGTTGAAGAAGTCACATCCGTGGGATCCTTCCAGGGTTTGGGGTCTAGGATTTCTTCTAAATTGGGGTCTAGGGTTTAGGGTTTAGGGGCCTGGGGGTTTAGGGTTTGCAGGTTTAGGGTCGGCTGTATAAGGGAAGTGCTATGACCAAACATCCTGATACCTCGATGACTGACACTCACACCAGACTCCAATGGCTGAGGGTCGAAGATTTCCGGGCGTCGGGCTTTGACTCTAGAAGTCGTGCAAACTCGAAGCCACGTTAGAAAGCGAGTTTTCCGAGCCCTATGAACCCTCCGGTCGTGAGAGGAAGAACTTGTGTGCCATGGAGTTCAGCGGCCAGCCGCGGAACTTCAGCGAGCAAAGCGGGATCCCACGCAGGACCACTCCTGGGTCTCTCCCACCTACGGTCTACAGCCTGGCTGTCTCAGGGGTGGATTCATAAAAACAGCTCTCAGGCCTAAAGGGAGGGATTAAATACGACTCTCTCCGAAACCCCATCAGAAAGCTTTCTAGCAGAACCAAGCCGCGTTTCGCCAGGAGCCCTTCGTCGTAGCTTCCTGCAGAGCTTGAGAGCTTAGGTCTAGGGGGCTTAATGGTTCATATAAGGGCTTTGATAATTAGAGGAGGGTTTGGGGGTATAATATATTACACTTACAGCGAGGAGCCCCAAAACCCTATTCTCATTATTAAGGCCCCTACATTACAGTAGGCTGGTGTGGTCACAACAGGGTTTGGCTTTGAAACGTATCATGGTAGAAGCAAAGGAACTACTATGGGGTGTTATCACCAATCAGCTGGACCTCTGTACCGGATATCGGATTGGGTTCCGAAGAAAGGCCGGAACACTAGACCACAACGAGAAAGAGATAACCCAAACCTCAACATGTAATCCGGAACCCAACCCTGAAACCTGAACACCAAGAGCCTCGACATGCCGATACCCTGAAT